ACACCGCACTGGCGCGGTCAAGGAAAATGCAAAAACAGGCGAAAGACCCCCCATGCAGCCCCAGCGAACCCAGACAAGTGCATAGGTTGAGCGACCACCTGAGAAATCGGTGCAGTGCGACCCCCAAAAGGCCCCCATAAACATCGGCCCTTCAATATCCTCAAAGCGAGCTGGCACGCAGAAGAGGTCGTGGAACTCGCACACTTCAGAGTCGAGGACATGACCAAAAGCAAAAAGGGATGGACGACCCCTCTGCAACCCCTGCGAGCCCCAATTTGCCCCACGGACAAGGCGACCCTCGTTTCGAGCGCCGACGACGCCGACGTCTGGCAGCGCGAACAGAGAAGCGCGCCGGAACACGAGCATGTCAGCGACGAGACCCCGGGACCGCGAAAGGATGCAGCCAATGTCACAGACGGCAACCCCCATAAACCCCGAAAAGGGGATGTTAAAAGTCGAGCAATTTTTTGTGAACCCCGCCGCCCAATCGGACAGGTCGCGAACGCGAAGGACAGGCATGATGCGAACGACCGTTAGATTTGTGGGGATCGTTAAAGTCCGCCGGGATCCGTGATTCGCGCGCGACAGTGCACCAGCCTTCGGAACGGGTGGTTTGCAGTTGAACCGCGAAGTCCGCCGAGATCCGAACTTGGCGATTGCTGGAGCGGCAAGGAACCAGTTTCCTGCTTGCAAATGTCTGTTGCACAGGAGCACGGAAAGAATAAACAGTAATCGCAGGCATGCGAAGGTAGACACAGGTGCAGCGAGGCCCCTAACACACCCCTATAGACACCAACTCTCCCCATGGGCATAGCGGGCTCTTGCGGTGATTCAGTCACAAATGGTGTTAGCCGTGACGCGGACATGAAGAACACCGGCTGAACCACGATGCGTGAACCGCAATGCACTCTGCCACACCGACGAGATCGCACGCACACCCATGACGACACCCCTTTCGGCAACCCCCTCAAACCCCTGCAAACCGGTTTTCACTGCCAACACTTTTGCGCACCCGAGGGTCTCTGCCGACCAAAGCGCATGCGAACCGTCCTGACTTCAGATAACGCTCGCGAAACAATTTCCTCGGTCCGTCGAGAATCCGGCTATCGCGAAATTCGGATCTCGGCGGACTTTGGGTTCCACGCAACTTCTGACCGCCAAGACCGCTCGAGCTTTGATCGGGTGCCACAGGGCGCGCAAAAATGCTCGCTTTGAGAAACGGCTCATGCGGGCAACTGCAACCCCCTTAAACCCCCTTGAACCCATATAAGCCATTGCAACTGCAAGCGAGCATTCCACTCACCCAGTCATACATATCGACTCCGGCAATCAGAGCACTTCCGATTGGTGCGGTCAGAATAGCGTGGAAAACCAAAGTCCGTTGGGATCCGAACTTGGCGATTGCCGGACTTTGGGTTCCCAAAGGGCTCCGGCAATCAGAGCACTTCCGAGCGCCACTTTCAGCGATCGCCAAGTTCGGATCCCAGCGGACTTTGGGTTTTCACGCTAATCAGACCGCCCCAATCGGAAGTGCTCTGATTGCCGGAGCCCATATGTATGATTGGGTGAGTGGAAGGCTCGCTAGCAGTTGCAATGGCTTATATGGGTTTAAGGGGGGTTAAGGGGGTTGCAGTTGCCCGCATGAGCGCGTGCGACGAGCCACTTGCGAAAATGGAAGTCCGCATCGCGGGGCATCTTAAAATGAAAGTTTTGCGTTGTCATGATCGCGTGCTCTCCCCCGAGGGGAAGTCGTCGTTCGTTACTCATCGAGGGTATGGTTTCGTGTCGCGGTGTTCGCCACGAAACAAGCGGCGAACACGTCAAAGAAACGGCATCGTCATCGAAGCAATCACAGCACTTCCGACTGGTGCGGTCAGATTGGCGCCGAAACCCAAACTCCGTCGTGATCCGAACTTGGCGATCGCCGAACTTTGGGTTCCCAATGGGCTCCGGCAATCAGAGCACATCCGAGCGCTACTTTCAGCGATCGCCAAGTTCGGATCCCGGCGGAGTTTGGGTTTCCACGCCAATCTGACCGCCCCAATCGGAAGTGCTCTGACTGTCGGAGCCCATATGTATGATTGGGTGAGTGGAATGCTCGCTTGCAGTTGCAATGGCTTATATGGTTTTAAGGGGGTTTAAGGGGGTTGCAGTTGCCCGCATGAGCGCGTGTGACGAGCCACTTGCGGAAATGGAAGTCCGCATCGCGGGGCATCTTAAAATGAAAGTGTTGCGCTGTCATGATCGCGTGCTCTCCCCCGAGGGGAAGTCGTTGTTCGTTACTCAACGAGGGTATGGTTTCGTGTCGCGGTGTTTGCCACGAAACAAGTGGCGAACACGTCAAAGAAAAGGCATCGTCATCGAAGCAAGTGGCGATGTCGATGTCCACAGCGCGCAAATGGCAGATGCCGACGACGTCCTCCCTTTGCTGAACACCATTTGTGTGCGCAACCGTTGCAGTTGCCACGATTTGCAACGCTGTTCACAAAAGAAAGTTGCGAAGACCCGCTTCCTTTCTCTTACGCTCATCGCAGTGTTTGCAAAAGGAAGTCGCGACGGGGTCACGTTTGAGAACGTGACGACAAAAATACCAAGTGAAATGCTGTTGGACTCAACCGCGCGGGGTCCGTTTGCTCAAAATAAGACGGAAAAACGCGCGAGGATGAACAGCGATAGAGGAATCACGCACATAATGTGAAAATACACAAACGCGCGCGAATGAACACTCGAAAAGAATCACACACGACAGCAGCCCCAACGCGGAAACGACAGCAGCCCGTGACACGTGGCAAGACAACAATGAAACAAAAGGAATCAAGCACATCATTGCGTGGAACATGCCAGGAACGATTGTTTGCACCAAACCGTAAACATGGCAGCACCGCCCGCCAAATGTGACACATGGCACGACAACAATGAAACAAAAGGAATCATGCACATCATTGCGTGGAACATGCCAGGAACGATTGTTTGCGCCAAAACGGTGCACACGGCAGCACCGCCCGCCACATGCGACACGTGGCAAGACAACAGGGCAAGAAAAGGAATCGCACGCATCATCGGGTGATTGATCGCGCGAAATCAGACGAGACGACAGCAGCACCCGCTCCCCGCGACACGTGGCAATATACAGCTGCTCTCAGGCGCACACAAGAATCCACCCCGATGCCAACCCCGGCAGTACGAAGCGCCGACGACGGCGGGCACGCGTTGACGTGCGCTGTGGAAGCTCACTCACCTGCGATGCGCGAGTGGTCGGATGCCGAGAGGAGGCTCGGAGCCCAGCTCAGGAAGACACGCGGCGAGGGCTATGGAGGACGTCCCGTTCGTCACCTCGCGCGAAAATGCGCTCGACTGGCAAGGAGTGAGAATGGGCTGCAGGACTCCCCAGGCCACGTCCGTAACCGCGAGTCGGGAGTCCCAGGGACACGTCCAAAGACTTGATGTGGGACGACACACGACGGCCGTACATCCGCGAATCTGACGGCCAGACGTCGTCTTCGCCCTGCGGGCTGCCGAAACACGAACCCCCCCCCCCCCCCCCCCCCCCAAAAAAAACCCCCCCCAACAACCCCCGAAAAAAAAAAAAAAAAAAAAAAAAAAAAAAAAAA